TTTTTCAGCTTTGTAGGGAGCGAACCCCCTCCGCGAGTTGCATATCTCACCGCGCTGCTTAAAAAGTTGCGTCATTTGATATGCCTTTTTTTTTTTTTTATTATTTTAAGAAAGCTTTTTGCCATTCAAATTATTTTTTTTATGGTTCGTTTCACCCACAAGGGTTAAACATGGGGAGAGAGATAGAACCAAAAATCCTATTTTGCTTATTTGTTAAATGATAAAAATTGCTTGTAGGGGTTAAAACATGGCTGTTGGGACAAAGAAGCAACAATGTTCAGGAGGCGAAGCTGATGCGCATTTTGTTCCTCACCCTTTTTTCAGCTGTACGGTGTATTTCTCGTACACCCGAACGCCTTGCACCTCCTACCCATAAGTGTGCCTCTGCACGTAAAGACCAAACCGAAAAGGTTTCTTAACGCATAAATTAATCCCTTTGTCACTCCTATATATACCATTTGTAAAAACGTCCCACACATAACTTTGCGTCCAGGTTGTCATTAAAATAAAGGTACATGTAAATGCTTGTATGCATGACTTTACTTTTGTGGACTAACGAACATGGGATGGTGTCACCGTCTGACGCGTCGTCAAAGCAGCTGCAACGACACGAACGGTTCAAACTTGCGACGCGCACATTGCTCTGTGTAAGTTTACCACGTTGCAGTGGTGTAAGCACACGGTTTTCTTATTTTGTAATTTTTTTTTTTTTTTTTTCCATTTCGCGTGAATGCCATACATTTATACGATTTGAAGGGGCGAAGAGAAAAACTGTTGTTCTGACGATGCTCATAAGTTTTAATGAAAAACAGGACAGGGAGCTAAAACGGTGTGGGGAGTGATACTAAGTCGGGACGGGGTACGCCAAATGGGCTGCACTAATTATATGCTCGTATTGAATGTACCACCGTGCACCCTACCCTCCTCAACATCGCCGAAGGGGCCAAAAAAAAAAAAAATATAAAAAAAAACAAGGTAAAAGCGCACTGCTACATGTGCACAATACAAACTGTGGACAAAGTACACACCTGAGGAGAGGGGCCCCAATTGTAGGGCAAGCTCAAAAGTGAATATGTGTGTGTCTGTCTGCCTGTCTCTCTCTCTCTCCGCCCGTTATTATGAACACCTGTGGTGACTGGTCCTTTATATCCTATACAAAGATACACATGCGTGGCTCCTTTCACCTGGCACATCATTTTGGCGTGATGAACCATGGAGGTAATAACCTCTCCATGACGGCCACAACAACACAAAATTTTGAAGCTGATGGAAAAGTATGCCAACACATGAAAGTACACATAAAGGTACACGTCAGCACACATAAACGTTATTGCGTATGTATACACATGCACTTGTAGCGAAATGAAAAGGAGCTTCTTAGCGCATACTGTTCTGCCTGCCATCAGTGAGGGGGGAAAACAAAAAGAAAAAAAAAAAAACACCAAGTTTCCACCTATACACCCAAAAAGGAAAAATACAAAAGGGATGGTAGGAACATTTTCTGCTCTGCTAATTTACTTCTCACAACAACAGTGTGTACATGAACCCCAAATGGGGATATTTTTAATTTTATAAAAATGGAAACAGTGCATGTAAGGGGGAATTGTAATGGATCGTCCCCTTGACGCAAAATTTATTTTCCAAGTATAAAACTTTTTAACGAACATGTCATGTGATTTATAAGCAGGCATATGGAATATCTTTTATTATCTTCCACTCTTTCAGTTAAAAAAAAACGTATTTTCAAATGGCGTGAACATAAGCTCCCTCTCGCTGTGCATATTTCAAAAATTGGTATAGTATAATATACACCATTTTTTCCCAATTGCGATTTTTTTTTTTTTTTTTTTTTTTTTTTTCCTTCCCCCCGCCCATGGGGTAATTTTGTATGCGCTGAATTATTCTTTAAAAATTGTTCTTTTGAGGAGGCCACAGTTTTTCCTTTTCCTTTTTTTTTTTTTTTTTTTTTTTTTTTTTTT